GACTACAGGGGAAAGCTGGTTTTTCCCCTGTCTGATGGAGTTCGACTTGGTGGTTATTGTCTGTACTTTCTTTAACTGGAGGGGGAAAAACATTTTGGGGTAAGCACAGAAGGCTTCCAAGTGGGGTCAGGCTCAGAAGAATCCAGAGGGCAGAAGATGGAAGGGATGATTTAGGAGAGGTGGCGGGGATGGGCACACACAGAGAGAGGACAGAGACTTACGTGAAGAGATTCTTTCTGCTTCTCACAAATGCCACATAAATTTTAGCCAAAAGTGACCATGAAGGAGCACATGGGGGCCAAGACACCAGTTACTGATCAAAAGGGTCATTAAGAGCAAAAACCACCCAGACTCAGAATGGCCAACCAGAGCTTGGGCAACAGGCCTTCCTTCGCTTTTCTCAGACATGGAGGAGCAGGCACTCAGAGGCCTTCCTGTGTGTCTCTGACTTCACAGCATCCGCCACTGCTCCTTAGAGCAGAGATCACCTGCAGCACAGCCTCTGGACCTCCAGCATTAACCACTGCAGAGCCCGCTTGCATTTTCTTACTGAGGTTATTCACCAAGAACATCTCCTACTCTGTACTCGAAGAAGGGACAGAACAGTTCTGTGGGGAGAGGGAAGAGGCCCAGCACCGGGAGTGTGAGGGAGTGAGCAGGAGCCACGTGGATAGAGCCAAGGTCAGTTTTCCAGAAGGTGCAGCATAGACCACTCAGCATCTTACCTTTGCTGTCCTACTGAACTCCAAGCAGTCCTGCAGCTCGAGCTTATCATTCTTTGAAGCTATCACGGGCCTGGGAACAGCCAAAACCCATTACTCTCCAGCCTCTGCCCTGGAGGTCTACACTAGAGACCTCACAAGTCAGGTGAGGAGAGAATCTGCTTTGACCAAGTGTACTATGGCAGTGACCATGTTCATCCACAGGATGAAAACTGACAATTCTGTGTGGTAAGACCAAGAGTCCGCTAGTCCCCAAAGAGTACAGCCCAGGGCCCAGAGGTAGTGTTTCTCTGAACTTTAGACGTTAGTATTGGGCAAAGTGAGCTTCCCACAGAGGGACAGGAGCACTACAGTGGGATCAGTGCAGACCAGGAAAATGTGATAGAGGAACTTGGTCTAGATCAGCGGTTCTCAACCTGTAGATCTTGATCCCTCTAGGGGTGGACAGCCCTTTCACGGGGTCGCCGAAGACCACTGGGAAACACAGAGATTTACATTACAATCCACAGCAGTAGCAAAATTACAGTTATGAAGTAGCAACAAAAATAACTATGGTTGGGGTCACCACAACATGAGGAAGTTAAAGGGTCGCAGCATTTGGAAGGTTGAGAACCACTGGTCTAGATGCTGGTGAATCACTTTTATAAGAGTATTCCACACTTTAAAAATGAAACTCAAGAAGCTTTAAGTGGGTGCCATCCTCGCAAGGAAGGACACTCAAACTTTTCACTTTCTCTCTGCCAACCAGTTTTGCAAATGCAGAGACAAGCAAGTTGAGAAGGCAAGAGCTCGAAACATCTGCATGCGGGAGCCATCAACACTGTCGTGGCCCCAGTTAAGGGACCTCAAAAGGAAAAAAAAGAGCGAGTGCCGCAGAGGGGCTGAGGAATCACGCCAAGAATTTCCCTTGACCACACCTTTCAGCTGTCCAATGCCAGCCCTAATTCTGCTTTTAAAAATCTATTACTGACGTGTACATGTGTGTTTGATGTATGTGGACATGCATGCCACAGTGCATGTCTGGAGGTCAGAGGACGACTTGGTCAAGTCAGTTCTCTCCTTCCACCTTTACAGGAGTTCTGGGGATCAAAGCCAAGCCATCAGACTTGTACAGCAAGCTCCCTTACCCACAGAGCCATCTCACTGGTCCCTACCTCCTTTCATATCCTCCATGGACCTAAGTAAGGTGAGGGGCCAGGAGAAAGGGGACATGGAAAGCTCGGCGTTATATAGATTCAAAGATTAAGATTCATACAAACACAAAGCATGGTGGCACACGCCTTTAATCCCAGCCCTAAGGAGGCAGAGGCAGAAGGATCTTTGTGAGGTCAAGGCCAGCCATGGTCTACATAAGGAATCCCAGGCCAGCCAGGGCTATATAGTGAAAAGATCTTCACAAACCAGATGATTCAGGCCTCAGCCCACATGACGCCTCATACACCCGCTCTGTCACCCCTCAGCGCTCAGTTACAACAGCCCATCATCCTATAAACTCCAGAGGTCACTGCCACCAACCTCATTTGCTTTCTCAGCTGATGACACCTTCTGGGACACAGCGTAAAAGCTGTCCATCTCACCTCCTTCTGCAATGTGCCACCTCCCCAGTGCCCTCATCTCTGCTCTTTTTCTTTTCCTTCTACTAGACACAGTATCCCTTAATTGCTTCAATTCACTACAATTAATCTCTTGCATTACCCTATGCCCATGTATAACTAAGTGGCACCATGTACCAGGCCTGCAGGATCCAGCCAGAGATACTTGCATCTCTCTTTTCCAGTCACTCTTGACCTAAGAATACTGATCTCCAAGCTGGTCTGGGGTACCTGCCCACCATCTATCCCAGAGCCCTCCCTTCTGCCTGGATTGGCTCCATTCCTTTAGTTCTGCTGGATGAGGTCTCATTCTTTCCCTACCCTACTTTCCAATGCCTCCTCCCCAACCACGAACATACAGTTACTCGCTGTGTTCTCTACCCCTCCCACTAAAATGTCTACTCTACAAGAGCCACTGACATCACTGTGTCCCCCATTGAATTGGTAGCAATACAGCGCTTGGCAGGGAGAGCTTGAATGTTGAGTAAATCAGCCCATGCGATTCCAAACAAAAACATGGTACCTTTTGATTAGATGGTTAGCTGAATAAATACTAACTATCCCAGGGGTAAAAATAATATTAAAAATTTGCATTAAAAAATGTCACACTATCTAAGAGAAACCTCCAGGCTGTTCCAGGACCCTGTGACTTCTGTCCACACTCTGCCAGACTCCCAAAGTTTATGCTTCTAACACCTCTTTCTGAAAGTGTTCCACAGCTTAACTCATTTGCATATACGGGACAGTCACTACGGTCACATCGCTCATCTTAGTGAGCAAGCTGTTCTTGAAATCGCAAAGGATGATATAAGGAGGCGCCTGCAAAACTACGTGCTTTGTGTCTAATCCTGAGACCAAACACTGGGTGTGGCTACACAAATGTGAGATGAGTAAGGACAACACCAACGAACATGCCCAAGCGGACGAAGAAAAGCCCACGAGGCCTCAGCCCTCCCCAGAGAACGATAAGCAACGGAGGAAAGCTGGGAACAGAAAAGGTGACCTTCCCCAGGGAAGATCACACCAAATGGTTGTCTAGTGCCAAACAGTCAGCCCTGAAAACGTACATGCAAATATCATTCTATGGACGTAACAGGTTATATTTAGGAATGTATATGTATACACAAGTACATATATGCATACAATAACAACTGATGAAGAGAAAGGCCATGAATTTGAAGGAGAGTGTAAGGGAGGAGTATAAGGAAGGACTTGGAGGGAGGAATGTTATAATTAAATTATAATCTCAAAAGAAAATTTTTTAAGGGTGGAAAATGTCCCTGACTGAGAAAACTAGAGGGAGTCAGCATCTGTTTGACACTCAGCTCTTCCCCCTGGTCGGTCACCAGTCACCTAGGCCAAGGCCCACTTCATCTCAGGGGCAGAGGATGGTGTCCTTGACACTCAACATCTGCAATGGAAGACGGCACAGCAGGAAGAACAGGGAGGCTTCACGGTTCTCAGTCCTCATGCAGACCTTGAGCAACACCCGCTCACCCTGCAGCTAGAGCAAGGCAGTGGCCCAGGAGTCCTGCCCAGTGCTCCACTCATCCAGAGCATCCTAAAGCTCTAAACCTTTCTAGAAGGTTAGGATGTCAGTCAGACTCGTATATAACTTGGCTGTCTGTTACCTGTCCCGCTCAGGGTTCTTACCTGTTCATCCCAGGGAGGTTGCCCCAGAAGTATCGGGCCCTGTGAGCGGCAGAAACCTTGATGGCATCGATCATCACTGGGTTACACTGCAGGAAGAGAAGGGGAGCTGCTGGGGACACCTCAAGACTCAGCTGTCAGTCAGCCCAGGTCTGACCCGGCGGGTGACCAGGCTTTCCTAGCTATACAACGAGACAGACCACTTCTCACCCAGAGACTGGCTGGGCAGAGCTGATGGATGTTCACAGCAAAGAACAGTGGCCAAGACAAAAGTTGGTACCCAGAGTTGGGCAGTGCTGTGAGAGACCTGACCATGCTGTCTGTTGGCAGGACGTGGACTTTGGGACTTTGGATAGAAAAGCAGTTGAACACTAAAGCTTGAAAGTGGGGCATACTACTAAAGCATACCAGTAGGAACATGGATGGTAATGCTGAGAGCAACATGGGCCCAGCCAAGAAGAATATTAATAAGTGGCCTAGAGACCATTCTGGTGATACTTTGGCAGAGAAGGTGGCTGCTTTCTGCTTTTATCCTAAAAAATCTGCCTGAGGCTAAATTGAAGAGGTTTCAGGATAACTGTGTAGTATGGTTATCAGTCATCACTCTTAGGCAGATCTATAATGAAAAGGACCAAGCTGGATAAAGAGAAATACAAAGCGTACACTTTGAGGAGAAAGGAAGCACCAGGAAGCGTAGTGGAGCTAAGTCCAGTGTTCAAGGAGATAAAAAGTTGTTTTGTTTTTTTTTTTTTAAAAAAAGCCTGATGCTAAATGGAGTAAATGGAGTGATGACCTCAGGGCAAGGCAAGACCCCGCCCAACTTTGTTTTCAGCTTGTGAAGAGGAATTAAAGAAAAGCTCAAACAGTGAAGGAGACCCTCAACAACAGAAAGCTGATGCGGATGTTAACTGAAAAGGGCCCAAATTCCAGCCCTACCCAGCAGCAGAACTTGGTTCATATGGTTCTGGTTTTAGAGTCAAAAATACAAGAAAAGGGTTGTGGAATCTTCCTCCTCAGCTAAAGAAAGCAGCTGAGGCCAGGAGTGTGTCAGGGTGTCCCAGAGAGGCCGTTATGTGAAGCTGTGAAGGTGAAGCCTGAATTGTGTTGGAGATCCCAAGATGCTGGAGACGCCAGAGCCATGGGAAACCTGCCCAAGAGAGCTTCGGACCAACTGTGAATTCTAGCCCAAGAGAGGGAAGTGTGGTACATTCAACAAAGTTGAAACCAATTGGAGATCTGAAGTGCACTTTGACATCAGATGTGGAAATGCAGAATTTAGAGTTTGCCCTGCTGGTTTTCAGTTCTCTATGGCCCAGTATTTCCTCACTATGCTCCCTTTCTTCTCTTTTGGAATAGTAATGTATGTTCTGGGCCATCGTATGTTGGAAGTATGAGATCTGCTTTTTTATTTTTATTTTTACAGGGGGTTACAGCTAAGAGACTGCCAGGAGTCTCAAAAGTGATTTTGAACTTTTGACTTTTAAACAGTATTGAGGCTGTGAAAGATTATGGGAACTTTTGAAGCTAGACTGAATACATTTTGCATTATGGTATGACTACAAGCCTACCAGGGTAGGGCAAAGAGTAGAATGTGATAGTTTGAATAAGAGTCGCTCCCACAGGCTCACATAATTGAATGCTCAGTAACCAGGGAATGGAACTGTTTAAAAGGATTAGAAGGATTGGGAGGTGTGGCCTTGTTGGAGGAAGTGTGCCACTCAGGGTGGATTTTGAGGTTTCAAAAGCCCATGCCAGGTCAAGGCTGTCTCTCTTCCCGCTGCCTGTGGATCTGGGTGTAGAACTGTCATCTACTTCTCCAGCCGCATGCCTGCCTGCATGCTGTCATGCTCCTCACCGTGATGGTCATGGACTACACCTCTGAAACTGTAATCAAGCACCTAATCAGTTTATTTTGTAAGAGTTGCCTATGTCACGGTGTTTCCTCACAACAATAGAACAATAATCAGACAGCTGATCTCTGCTTGTGAATGGGGGGGTGACAAGTCAGATCAGACCTGCACACTCTGAGTCACGCCAGTGACAGATGTGCTCAAAGGTAGAGATACTTCACGTCAAAATCTGCTAAGTCAAATCCCAGCTGCAGAAAGACAGTGTGAGCAATGCATGACTCAGGGTGACATGTGACAGTTGGAAAACAGCCAATTCTATCACCTCTGAGGCAAAAATTGTAAAATTCCAATGAAAACTAAGGTACAGTCTGGGTGTGGTACACACTTGTAATCCTGGCACTTTAGAGGTGGATACAGGAAGACCAAGGGCTGAAGAAAAACCTGAGCTACAAAAGACTCTGTCTTAAAAAACAAACAAACATGGGGCTGGAGAAATGGCTGCTGTTCCAGAGGACCTGAGTTCAATTCCCAGCAACCACATGGTGGCCCACAACCACCTATAATGGGACCCAATGCCCTCTTCTGACATGTAAATGTACATGCTGACAGAGTACTCATATACATGAAATATATATATTTTAAAACAGAAGGAGAAGAAGAAGAAGAAGAAGAAGAAGAAGAAGAAGAAGAAGAAGAAGAAGAAGAAGAAGAAGAAGAAGAAGAAGAAGAAACCAGGAAGTAGTGGCACACACCTTTAATCCCAGCACTAAGGAGACAGAGGCAGGCGGATCTCTGAGTTCGAAGCCAGCCTGGGCTACAGATCGAGTTCCAGGGCAGGCGCCAAAGCTACACAGAGAAACTCTGTCTTGAAAAACAAAAACAAAAACAAACAAACAAAAAAATGAAATCCAAAAACCTGCTTGCTACAGTGTTTGATGTAACGCAAGTGGTGGATAATTAACTTCTCTGTAACTCCTGAAGCTGCCATCTTCAGAAGAAAAAGGAAGCAGGAACTGACCAGAGTGGAAGTAGAGCTGGTGTCATTGCCGGTGCCTTGCACAGGCAGGGTTATGTCAGGGATAAATGTCTCCCACGCACTCAAAAGTGAGCTGTGTCTTTCCTCCCCAGATCTAGCCACAAACTGGGGAATCACTCCCACCTGTCAACACTCAGTAGCCTTAATGCCAACGTGGTCTCCCTGACCCAAGGCGTCTTGACACTCAGGCCACTCACCTCCAGGAACCGTGAGATGTCCCTCTTGTCACCCACCTCCATGGCCACCACATTCTCAAACATCCAGAAGAACGGACGGTTGTCACACTCCTCAGGGCGTGAGTGATTCAGCAACCGGTAAAACTCGAAGAAGAGTCGGCCGGTGCCCTCTACGTCCATAAAGAACATCGGAGAACAGGGTTTGATCAAAAGCTTCAATGCAAGCCCCCACATTCCCTGAGACCAAGAGAATCTCAATAAGCCCCATCCGTGAAGCCAGTGCCCTCACATGCCAGCCCCGGAATGACCAGGCAAGGACACCGTTCCCTGACACCTTTCTCTGGGGGCTGAGGATTTGCAAAGGGCGCAGGCAGTGCTTAAGGACCAGCGCTAAACAAGAATGATCAGAAGCCAACATCTTCTTCTGCGGCCACCCCACATGGACCAGCACTCAGATATGGTAGGATCTCTGTGAGCCAAAGCAAATGGCTGCTCACCAAACAGGCCTTTCCTGACAGGATTCACACAGGAGAGGTCATTGCAAGGGCTTCCACCGATCACCAAGTCGAATGGGCCCCACTCATCAACCTGAGAGAAAACACAAAATGCTGGGATGAGCCCGAGGGAGGAGGGAATCCTTGGTTCTGGGGCAGGCGAGATGGCTTGGAGGTGTATAGGTACCTGCCATGTGAGCCTGGCAACCTGAGTGTGACCCCCAAAACCTATGTAAGTGTGGAAGGAGAGGACTGACTCCACAAAGTTGTCCTCTCATCTCCGTAAATGTGCCACGGTGCTGGCACCCTCATCCATGTACATGCACGCACACACTGATGATGATGATGATGACGGTGGTGGTGATGGTGATGATGATAATGATGGTGATGGTGATGATGATTAATTGTTTTTAATTTAAAAATAAAGAAAGCTTAGATTATTAGAGAAGTTGCTAAGAAAAGTCAGTTCTAGAAACTTGCTCGGTCGGCAACCCCAGTTCCAGCCCATGGAGCCTCCATTGACGCTCACATTCCACTAGAAGTCCTGAATTATTCCTATTACGTCACTTTTTCTGAAATGTCTCTAGCTGTCTTCTACCCACAGCCCTAGGCCTGAGGGGGAGAGAGAGCAGCCCACCATGAGACCAAGGTCCAGGACATGGAAGAACAAGCAAAAGATGAACCCCAGGGAAAAAAAAGCCACCCTCACGTCTCCCTTTGTGATGTTCCTGACGTCATCCACGTATTTGATATGGCCTTCATGCTTAACGGTTCCCACAGCGATGGACTCTGAACAAACTTCGGAAGCGACGTACTTTTCCACTTTGATACCCAACTCTTTGAGCACCAAGTACCCTGTGGGGGATCAAATAGAAATGTGAGGACAGGGGAATGAGGATCCATCCCCACTCCATCACTGTCGCTTCAGAGCAGCCGTGTCGACTCCAGGGGCCCTCACAGTGTCGCCCACAGTGGCCATGCTCTCTCCTTCCATGTAGGGGACATCTCACGACATGGAAAGGAACCAGGACTGAGGAAGGTGGTTGCTACCTAACTGACCACCAATGTATCTATGCACACAGAAGGAAAAGTTTAAGAATCAAGGTTAAAATGCAAAGAGCTAAGAAGTATGTTCTTTGAAAAGGGGAGCAAGCCCCCTACATGAGCCACAGCAGAGCTGAGAGTGCTGTGCATGCTGACTGATTCCTGCACGCATACAAACGGGAAAAACTAGAAAAGAGCCCAGACTGAGGGGCTTGCCAGCAAGCGGACAGTCCGCAACTGTCACAGGGGAGACACCTTCA